GGGCGGCGGCGGGGGGAGGCTCCGCATCGCAGCGCCCGCGCACCACGCAGCGCCCGCCCCGCGCGGCCCCGGCCGAGAGCGCGCTCGGGGAGGGGGGGCGCCACGCCCCCTTCGAGACGGAGCCCGTGAAGCCACGCCCCCCCCCCCGAGGCCACGCCCCCAGGCGCGTCCTGCCCGAGCGAGTCTCGGGGCGGCCATCGTCCGCCACCTGCGCTCCTCTCGTTGAGTGCTTCCAGCGCTGATTTTTTTCGCTATTAAGCGTAGCGCCCATCGGGGCCCGTTCTGGGGAGAACCACGCGGGTGGCTGCAAGAAAACCGTGCCCTGGTTTCTGGCAGTTGCCCATTGTGTAGCTGGAAACGCCACCTCCGAGCAGGACAGATCGCAGAGGCGTCGAGTGCCTTGGGTTGGAAGGGTCCTTCAGGACCGTGGCAAACTGCTCGGGCAACGTCTGATGTCCTCACCCACGCTGAGCTCTGGCATAGCTGCCAGCAGCTGCCCCGGCCCTATCGGGTTGCAGGGCACTTTGCCAGGGCTGCTGGGGCCCCGCTGACATTCAGGTCACCTCCTGCTTGGGCTTCTGCCCCAGCCCCTCTGTCCCAAAGCCAACAGTGGGACTGGGGTGCGCATTAGGCTTGGGGAAGTGGGGGACTGGGGGTGGCTGTGAGCCCCCCAGGTGCTGCTGAGAATGAGGGTGTGTGGGGAGGAAAGAAAGTTGTGTGCTATTGCACGTAGTGAGACGTGGGAGAGAGCAATGCTTTGAGTAATCCCCCAAAAAATAAATGCCAGAAATAGTTATTCACAAGTGCATGGAAGCAGAACCATGCAAGTAATCCAATGGGAGTTGCAAATCTGAGGCTGGACAACCAGCAGCGGGGAGGTAGGTGCACGTCCTTCCATCACAAGTTCCACCTTATGTGCCAAGCACCCCCATCCCGACCCCATAGGGCAGCCCCTGTCCTACATGCCCAACAAGCACCACAACAGCCTCACCCTCCAGCCCCCTCTGGCTGTACAGACACTGCTGGTGCTGGGGCGGCACTGTGCCAGGAGCTTCCAGCACCCGTTGGGACAAAGGCACTTTGTGCAGGGCCAGTGGCATGGCTGTGCCTCATGCTGTGCCCCGGGGAACAGGAACCCCCTACAGCGTGTTGCTCTTGGGGTCGAGGAGAAGGCAGAGCCACACAGGGACAGGGGATAACGTTGCAGCTGTACCTCCCCTGTGAGCCCTCTGCAGCTTTCTCTCATGTCCTTCTCACCTGCACCATTCCTTCACACTCCTCCCAGACCTCTCACTCTCCTGCCACAAAGAAAAGTACTTAATTAGGAATAAGGCAGCCCAAGAAGTCACAGCACCCCAGTGGCTCTCCACATGCTTTATTTGCTCAGCATCCACCACAGCCACCCTGGAAGAAAACAGTGGCCAACAGTGGCTGTTTGCTTCTCCCTCTCCAGTCTTAAAACAGCTCCCAGAGGCAAGAAGAGGGTCTTTCCAGTCAGCCTTCTATACAAATACCTTCTCTATACCCTGTCCGACCAGCTAAGAAATGCCATCCAGCTCAAATCCCACTCCCCTCCTGAGAACGGCCCCAAGCAGTCAGAGCAGAAATTCAGCACGCAGAACATGCAGGCAGGGTGGAAGCTGTGCAGGAGCGGAGAGAAAAGGGAGCACCTGAACGAGGCAAAGCCTCAGACCTTGCAGAGAGAGGGACAATTCCTGAGCCGGCTTTCACCAGGTGGTGCCTCCACATCCCTCTCACCCCTGCAAAAACCCTGAGGCAGCTCCCCTCCTCCAGAAGCATCACCCGGCCATCAGGAGACAGCAGCAACCCGGTCCCACAGAACAGGATGGCCCTGCACAGCACACTGGGAGTCATGGCTTCCAGGCCATGGTGGGGTTGTGGGTCATCCACAAGGCCCACCTCGCCAGGAGTTCCCTCCCTGTACCTAAGTTTCCACCACAGGGAAAGGGGCCCATTAGGAAGCAGAAGGGCCCTGGTTAGTAGTGTGGCCCCTTTGTTCCCGGAAGCTCCCGCGCCTGTCAGCAGCCCCGCACAGAGATGGGCCCCCAGCTAAGCCCCGTCTGGGCCGGGGCTCCCCACACCTCCATCACTGGCTCTCAGGCAGACCCAGTGCCGTGCCACTGCCTGGGCCATGCTTGGCGAGCTGCCGCAGGTCCCGCACCGACCTGACGGCCCACTGGGCCAGCTCCCGCAGCACCCCCAGGCCTCGCAGCTTCTGCTCAAAGAGGCTGAGGCGTGGGGGTGCAGGGGGCTCGGAGCCCTCCTCAGCAGGGGCCCCGCGGCTCTCCAGCTCCAGCAGCTCCTCCAGGTGGTAGGCAAAGGCCGAGACCTGCAGCAGCACGGCCGCCAGCGCCGGGCCCAGCTCAGCATCGGCGTCTCCCAACTGCTCCCGCTGCTCCTCCAGCATCTGTGCCAGCAGCGTGCGGAAGGCCCGGTAGGCTGCCAGGTTGTCCAGGAGGCGCTGGGTGCCGGTCTGCTCTGCCCAGCGCTCCGCTGCTGCCGCCGGCACCCCATCCACCGCCGCCACGCTGATGGAGGCGTCCAGGCCCTGCCGCTCCACCTGCGGGACAGACAGCTGGGATGGATGCCTGCACAAGGGGGGCCTCCAGCATCCCGCCCCGAGGAGTCTCACGGCAGCAGCCTCCCGCCTCCACTCCCAGCCCCGAGAGCAGGGCAAACTCACATAGATGTCCAGGAGGTCGGTGACATCTGAGCGCATCTTCCTGGCCAGGCGGATGCCGCGGCTGCACAGGTCGTGGTGCCGAAGAGTGGCTGAAGAGGTGTCTGCTGCCGCCATGGCCCAGGCGGCCGTCCCGGACTCACGGCGCAGTGCCCGCGCAGCCCCGGGAGGACAATCCCTTGCTGAGCTGGTGCATTCCAGCCGGGAGCTCTGCTCACGCGTCCGCTGGCCCGGCTCTCCCCCTCTTCCGCGCCTGGGGCCTGGCACGACGCTGCAGATTCCCGCCTCTGGGATCAACAGCAACAGATTATTTCCCTAATTCCCCACTCTTTGCCACTCTAAGCTCGTTGCCCAAAACGCTCTCACCCGGCAGCGACAGGCTCCTTCCTGGGGGCACAACGAGCCCCGCTCTAATCCCTGGCTCAGGCCGGAGCACGGGAAACCGCTGCCGGGAAGAGGTGAGCAGAGCCGGGACGTTGCTCAACAGCTCAGCCCAAGCAGCAGGCTGGGGCCGGAGCAAGGCGCAGCGCTGGGGACAGAGCGAGGCCCAGCCGGGGGCTAGGATACCCCTCACCCTACAGCCTGACCCCAGCAGCTGCCTCCCTCCCTTTTCCTCAAGGCGGTGGGAGCCCCCGGACACCCCTACCCCAGAGGTATGTCCCACAGCAGCAGCCCCTCAGCACGAGTACCACAAACAAACAGCCCTTGGGGTTGGTTTGTTTTCCTCAATACATTTATTTTGGTTACGTGTTACCCAGATGAAAAGAAAAACAGAGTAGAAAAGCAGCTTCCCTTGGCCACCACAGCAGCACCCAGCACCAGGCCCCACAGCCCCCACAGGGCCCCCACAACCTGCACCCATCTCCTCCTACATTTCAGGGTTTTTAATGGGGTCAGGGCCCCGGCTTCCTTTCCAGGAAGGAGAACAATAAAATAAATACAGGGGAAAAAAATACAAAAAAAGTTTATTGCAAACTACTACAATAATTTATTGAAGCAAACTGCATGCGAGTGAAGGAGAGACACGCAGAGGAGGAGCTGCAGGAGGGCTGTGTCAGTTGTAGGGTTTGAGAGAGAGAAAGGAGTTACATCAGACTCTGCCGCACTGAGGGTGAGCAGGCTGTGGTTAGAAGACAGACAGGCAACTTGCTGAGACAGAAAAAAAAAAAAAGGGAAGCAATGAGGGCATGGGAGGGTAAGGCAGGGACCAGAGGGGTTCAGGCCAGGAGCAACACAGGAGGCAAACGAGCCGCTCAGTCCTGCACCCCACAGCACATAGCAGTGCTTGGGGCAGGGGAAGGACGAGGCCTCGCCTCCTGGCCAAGCCCGGCATTGCATCACCAGCTGCAAGCAAGCTCCTGACCCAAAAGCATTCATTTTAGTGTCAGAGAGCAAACCCCAATCTCTCCCATTTCATTTAGTGTTCTGTGCAAGGCTCTGCCTGCCATGCAATGCTCCCTGGAGTGGTGACAGGGCACGTGAAGCAGCTCCTAACTTGGGGGATCGATCTGCAGCTGCCAGCGGGCATGGCACAGTGCAAGCTGTGTGCTCCCCTCCTTAATTCCCCTGGATAGAAGAGCCACACTGCTGGGGATGAACCCACCTCTGTGCACTGCATGGTGCCTCTTCAGTTAGCAGTGCTTCACAAAGGGAATTCCAATTTGACCCAAGCAAGAAGCAGGCCATGCCAGCTAAAGCAACTGCTTTGTTTAGTGTACTCCCACACCACCATGCCAGGAGTGCTGTGCTCAGCCTTCCACTCACCCTCCAGCTCACACACACAGGAGCCACAGTACAGGACCAGCGAACGCCCACACCCAGGGCACAGACCAACACAGAGCATCCCTGCAACAGCAGCGCTCTGCCTTGCTCCAACACAGACTTCAATGTCAGTGGGAAGGGAAAGGGGAAATCAGGACAAGTGGCCCAGTAAGTGCTGTCAGACTTTGGGCTACAGCTGGATTTCCAGGCAGCACAGGCGACAGAGTGGGCGTTTGGAGTCAGTTTCCTGTCAAAACTTTCCAATTCAATTCCATGTTTTATTGCTGATCTCCAGACCCCAGATACTTGACTTTGCCTGGCTGCTGTTACAGACCAGTTCTGCTGAACTCAGGCTTGGACAAAGCACTTCAGCTCTGTTCCCAGCACATAAACACAACTGAAAAAACAAGTAAACTGACAGAAAGCCCAGGTTATTGGTCACCTCTTCCAAACACACAAAGAATTCAAGGCCACCTAGTCTCCACACACAGCTTCAGATAACAGAGCAAAAAGATCCGAGCCTAAAGACCAGACATCATTTCCTATGCAAATTCTTCCACAGGCTCTGAGCTGTCCTAACACACCAGCAGGCAATGACCACCCCAGGGAGCAGAGATGGCTGAGCACAAGCGAGGGGCTCAGCACAGCACACCCCATTACAGAGGCACGGACAAACCGACAGCCTCTACTCCCACGTCAGCCCACTGCCTTGGATAGATGAGCTAAAGACAACCATACCCGATCTCTGCAGAGGAGCACCACTGTCCTGGGCCATGAGAACAAGTATCCTGACTAATGCTGTCCTTCCCGGCAAGGCGAGGGAGTAAGGGGAGCAAAAAGAGCTGAGCTGGGAGGGAAGGAGGGAGATGAGAGGCGGTTGTGCCATCACTCACCTCATCCTCCTGCTAAAACGCTGCCGCAAGGACTCCACTTCTCTTCTCTGGGGCTCTCCCTCTGCTCTGGAAATCCATGAGGTCTGACTGCAGCACGCTGCTTTCACCCCAGCTCTCCGAGCTGCTGTTACATGGCATGCACGTTCCCTACGGCTCTCTGGTGGGAAGGAGCCTGCTGGGAAGCAGCCTGAACCCCTGCTACCCCACCCGCCAAGAACATAACTAAAAAATACCGACCCTTTTATCAATAAATAAGGAATCTCGTTACCACAACACAAAAACGAAACATGTTCAAAGTGCAAATTACTGTCGTCAAACCGGGATGCTCCTCCTTGCCTCTCCCACGCAGGGCTCCCGTAGCCCCCGGGCCTCTCCAAGCAAACATGATCTATGAGCCAGGGCGTTCCCTCTGCTTCCTGCCAGGGATGGGGCCAAGTGTGGTGGGGGACAGGGACTCCTTCGCAGCCTGCCCCGGCAAGGGGGCCTAAAGTGCCGAGCCAAACTCCCACCCCGGGATGAAGAGTGAGGCTGCGAGGACTAGAGTTGCAGAAATGCATAGAAGTGGGACCACGGGGCAAAAAGGGAGTCCTAAGAAACTTGTCCAGAGCACACCAAATGCTTCCTAGCTTGCAAACAGGGCCAGGTCAAAGAGCCAGAAAGGCATCTACTTCGGGGTAGAGCGAAGGGTTTCAGCCTTCCCCCTCCCTCGGAGAAATCTGTCACTCAGTCCGACTTGCTCTGGTAATGGCAGCGCGCGCCCCTTTTCTGCAAAGGAGCTGTGGGAGACAGAAGTGGTTGGGAGAAAGAGGACGTGCTGTGATCCACGCTGAGGGGAGCAGACCCTTCGGTTACTTACTAGTATTTTAAGTTTTGTTTAACTTTTCTCTCTTTCAACGCGTCTCCATTTTTTTTTTTTTTTTCCTTTTAAATAGAGTCCAAACAGTCCCAGCACCCACGTGCTCCCCACCCACTAGGGTCCAGTGGAGTCTGAATCTTCGATGAGCACCTCCGTGGTGGCTCCCAGGATCTCTGTGTTCATCACCAGCCCTTCAGGGTTGGCGCTGCTGCCGCTGCCTACAAAGAGCTTGCCGTCAGCCACCAGGCTCACACGCTCCGCCCCGCCGCAGTACGTCTTCGGCATCCCATCGGGGTTCAGCAGCAGGCAGTCGGTCGGGGCAGTGCTGCCCAGGGGGTCAGGAAGAAGAGGGAGGCCCTGGCCATCGGTGGGCGGCGCGATGGCCTCGGGGTTAGTGCCCAGAATGTCAGTGCTGGTGATCAGGGCACCCGCGTTGGCCGCCAGTGCTTCAGCAATAAGCACTTCTGGGTGGCTTTTGGCTTTGTGGGCCACGACACTGTCCTTCTTCTCAAATTTCTTGCCGCAAATGTTGCAGGAGAACTGGTAGAAGGAGTCCGCATCGTGTTTCTTCATGTGCCAGTTGAGGGAAGCTTTCTGCCGGCATGTGAATCCACAGATCTCACACCTGGGGAAGGGAGAAAGGGGAGGTCACAACACAGCAACATTGGCACACGTCTGTGGAAACTGCTGGAGTAACGAGGCAGCCCAGGAAAAGAATGGGCTCTGATCAACGCGGGCTGTCACTGTAGTGCCAGCTCTTCCTGTTATATCACTCACGCTCCTCAGATCTCTGCCGAGGCACTGCCTCGAGGACCAAGCAGCACTTCAAACGCTCCCACAGAGGTGCGTTTCAAGAGGGCCAGGACTGCACAAGTAGGTTCCAGCCCTGACTTCAGAGCTGCCCCTGAGCTCGGTGTGCATGTATCTAGGGGTGGCTCAAAGGAGGAGAGCAAAAAGGTACTCACTGCAAGGGCTTCTCGCCTGTGTGGATCATTCGGTGCACCGCCAAGTTATGAGAGCTCTTAAACGCCCGGGCACAGTACTCACAGATGTAGTCCCTTTGATCTGAAAAGCAACACCAGCCAGAGCATTACTCTCCTGCAGACCTGCTCCCTCTCCCTGCTCTCATGTGCTGCAGGTAAAGCCGCCCACAAAGCAGCAGAAGCAGAAATGCTGGGAGGCCTGCAGGCACAGCAAAGGAAGTGGCATACCACAAGACACCACAGTAGCTTGATCTGGAGGGCTAAGGAGTGATAGAAGAGTCTCAATCCATTCTGACCAATACTGAAGGAGTGGTAAATTAGGATAAAGCTTGGCTTGTTTGATTGTTGGCAATACTTGCAATGATACTTGCCAGTGGGTGAATTAGGAACTCTGTAGCCCATTTCTGTCATTCCCTTAGAAGATGGTAACACAGAAGGGAATATTACCCTGCCATTGCTGCACATCCCTACCGTCTGCCTCACCTTCACTCCCACCTCAAGCCGTGGGCATTTTTCTTTTTGCCTCCCTGCACTGTTCACCAACCCAGCAAGAAGCCAAGATCCTCCTCCTCCTCCCCATACCTGTGTGGTGCTTGGCATGCCGCAGGAGCTGCTTCTGCAGTCGGAAGAGCCGACCACAGGAGGGATGGGGACACACATACTTTTTCTTCAGCAAGTGTTGGTACTTGATGTGATGCTGAGAAAGAAAAGCAAAAGGTTGTAAGCTCTCTTTTTGATTGGCTAAGGAGGAGGCTGAGGCACACTGATCCCAGGTGGCCCCTTGGCAGGGCATCAAACTCCAGTCGCTAACAAGACACCCTTACATGCAGAGGAGAAAGCCCAATGAATGTAGACATCCAGTAACAGGACAGACACAGAGACACGTGGCCTGATGCAAACTGCCATTCCCTGCCCTCACACAGACAGCATTCAAGAAGTAGAAAATCCCAAATACCTGCAGGTAACGCGGGTGGGCCAGGACTGTGCCACAGCCTTCCATCTCACAGCGGACGTACTGTATTGGAGGCTTCTTCCTAGGAGGTCAGTAAGAAAACAAGCAGTGATCAGCTGACACATCTGAGGGGAGGACAGCAGCCAGATGAGTGAATGTGAGCGCAGCTCAGTAATGTGAGAGCAAGGGATTATTGCTCCAGTATTCCCAATGAGCTGTGCTGACAGACTTTGGCCAAGAGCCCCCTCTGCTTCTAGCAAGACATGAGGGCTCACACAAGGACTAAGAAAACCCCAGAGGATGCCAGGCTCCCCAAAACCCCTGCACACTGCCATGGCAGGAATCCAGCCAGATGGGGAAAAACAGCTGGGAAGAAAGCAAACCCAACATCCATAGGGAAAAAGAGGAATGAAAGCAGGGGAGCCAACATATGTCACTATTTCCTTCTTTTCTTTAAGGCTGATCTTTGTATTGTGTGAGAGAGGTGCCTTTTGAAACAATTGACAGCTCTGTGCATGACACAAAGGAACTGAACTGAGTAGAGGGGACCACTTACCTTCTCTTGGGCAATCTTGGGCTCTTGTCATCTTTTCTTCTCCGTCCTCTCCTATAGCATATAATAGAGTTACAGACAAAATTGTAGGAGGCTTCTTTACACCGGCACTAGGCAGAGGTTTTCAGCTGAGTGCCATAATACTACAGAACTCCTCTACAGTCTTAGGCTGAAAAGTAACATTGCACCCAGCAACTCAAAATCAACCACCACCCACTCTGGATCAAAATGCCTGAAGAGTTTCAAAGGAGAGCCTGCGCAATAGATGGGCAGGTTTCCCTCCAGCAGACATCACACGCTTCACATTTTTCTTTTACATCTGTCAATGTCCAAGTTATTTGCAGTCCTTGATTACATTCAGGCCTTTCCAAGCTGCACATGAGCACACAAGATTCTGCTCTAAGTTCCTGCTGTAGACAGTTAGCGAGTTATTGCCTCATTAACTGCAAGCCCAAGAAAAATCAATCAAGAATAAGTTTGATGCAGATTCAGAGGAAGGCAATGTTCTCAAGAAATAAGTGCTTTGTGTGGTTTGCTCTCACAAGACCTCCCATTTCCTAATGCATTTTTAATAAACATATAATTCTGCCAACACAGTCCAGAACTGATGGTGCCCTCTATTTCCTCTGCTCTGTTGGGTAACATTTCATGCCATGTGAAAAACATCAGCCTGCGTGGCTAGGAAGGAGGGGATTGATGACCTGGCAGCTATTTTTCAGCCCTCTGAACTAACTAGAGCAGCTTGCACACCTGTCAAGACAAATCTATGCCCTGATCAGACCTGTGTTTACATGTACAATATACCTTCCCAAGCAACACCTCTGCCCAGAAGATTGCACCTGCTTGATCACACTGCTGCTCCAAGACATTTAGTGCAGATTGATTAATTCTTTTCTAGCCCATGCTGAGACATTTTACTGATGGCGAGACCGTGCCAGTAAACGAGCTGAGCAGGCACTCTGCATTCAAGCCAAGCCTTCAGGAGCAGCACAGGTTTTCTTACATGTAAAAAAAAGTGTCTGATCCAAACAACACAACCACAAAGCCTCAGAAAGCCTCACGTGGCATTAAAAAAAAAAAACAAACAACAATATCTTCGCAAAAATACTTCTCTCCAATGTCAATCAGCCTTGCTGCAGCTTAGAAGCAGCATGAGAAACTGAAACAAAAGTGTGCAAAGCCCCACGCCGCTGCCAGCAGAGGGAGCTCCTTTTGTTCCCATTTCTCATAGAGGAGATCAAGTGCAAAAGCTGTTTCTTTTCCTCTATCCCAAACAATGGCTTTGACCCAAACGCATAAATGCAGCACTGAAGCACACCCAGGTAGGTATTCTGAGGCTCCACTCCAAGCACCAGTGATGACCAGGCAGCTTCAGTCGGTTCTCTCTGTTTCTCCAAAAGGAGGGATAACACAGCTGGTTTTCCTGAGCTCTGGTGCATAAATCCCCAGTGTACCAAGAGGAGGTTTCCCACATGACCTGTATGAAGTACTCTACCTCTGGGCACACACTGGAAGAGCTCTGGCCTTCCCAGACTAGCTTTCTAACACACTTCAGACTGCTGAGTTTTAAAATCTCTACAGTATTTCACACAGTGTGGCCGTATCCAGGCAGGCTGACAAAGCCCCAGCATGGAAAAATACTGCCTTAACTAAATGAAAACATCACTTCTTACTTTCCCTTGCCAATCATGAGCAGGACACTAGGAAACAGTACTTCAGTCAGAGCAAGAGGCTCTGCCCTATTATCTTTCAGGCCCAGAGGGGAAAAACAACAACAACACTGTTGTATGCTAGCAAGAATGCAACATACACTGTACATGCTGGTACATATAACTGCAGAATTTTTACTCACTTCCTTGGTGGTTCTTCATCTTCCCGAAACTCACTCTCTTCTTTTACCTCTACTTTAATCTCCTTCTGTTTCTCTTTTTCTTCTTTTCCCTTGCCAGCTTTTCTCCTTTGCTTTGGAGCTTCCCTACAAAGACACAAACACAATGTATTACTCCAATATTAATTGGTATCTATTTAAAGATACCCTCATGCCTCTGTCTTCCTCTGAGCCTCTACACCTCTGGCTTGCTGTAACTGGTTCTCCACCATATTAGCACCAAGGGCTGTCTCTCCTTCCATACTCTTTAAAAAGCACTGTCCACTCTTTACAAACAGGCAAAACCTGGATAGGAGTTCAAGTTTTAATCAAATCCCACTTCTAAGCAGAAGTGGGATGGAGGTCTAAGGATGCACCTGACTGTCAACAGGGCTCTAAAAGCTTCAGACCACCTGAGAAAAAACGTTCCCAAGAGGTGAGGGAGATAGGGAACACACTGAACTCAGTGGGAGCTACTCCATGTCAGCAACCAGCATGGTTTCTCCGGGTCACATTAAGCTAGTTCAACTAAGTTATGTTTTCAATCTAAAGACACAATAAGTAGGTAATCTATTATACTTTTCGAGATGGGGCTTGTAGGTTTCATCTCTTGGATCATCTTTGAAGGGAACTTCTTCCTCACTGGCAAGGATCTCCTCCTCATCATCACTGCCAGGAGAAAAGGAGAACAGAGGAGTTAAGCAGAGACAATTGAAGCACTACTGCAAGAATATATATGCAATTTCCCATAGAATGGGAAAGACATGCAGCAATTTTCATCCCTTGTTTGCACTAAGGAGCACAGGTAGGCAGAGTAGCATCCTATTGAGAACAGCTACAACAGTTACCTGCTGCACAGGGAACAAAGCTTCCAAAGCTCCACACTGACCAAACCCAATTCTCCAATACCTCCTGACACCTGCAGCCCATCAGCAATCCAAGCTGAAAATGTGAAGGGCCAGGACTGCACGAGAACACAGCTGCCACCCCTCCACAGACCGTGCCACAAGCATTTGAAAAACTGCTCATATGTTGCTTTCTTGACACTAAACGCAAAGAACTGTCGCAAAAATAAAGTTTCCTACCTGATTCCAGCTGGAGACTGATGCTCTTCTGTGACCTCTGAAAGGAAAAGTCACCATTAGGTTTCAACCTGCGTTCGCTGCAGTGAGCTCATCTGTCTCAAGATACCTCCGCCGACATTCAGCGCCAGGAGTGCTGGTGGCAGAAGGCACTCGTGACAAAGCAGCACCACGCCTGGAGCAGCCACAGTCAGCGCACAGCTCACCGAGCTGCACCCACACGCAGCTCCCTTCACAGGTTCCCACCAGTTGCCCATCTTCAGGCGCCTCACACCAAACTGCTTCCCACATACCGTATTCCAGCTGGTCGGCGTTCGGTTCCGACTTGCAGACGAGCTGCAGGGAGCCAGTCTTGGACCGGGAGGCACGCGAGTTCTCGGCTTCACGCTGGCGGGCGGCAGTGGCCGACCTGCTGCTGCGCCAGCTCCTGCTGGGCCGGGCTGTGCTGACTGGAGAGCCCTGGCTGAGGGCAGGGGAAACCTCCTCCTCCTCCTTCTCTTCTTTGGGATCTGAAACACCATTGAAATCTCACTGTTAATCAACGAGCAGTTTCAAAATCTCCCCATAGTTAAGGTCTTGTTTGGGGAAACCCCTACGCACACGCTTAATCTGAAGTGTACGTTTGGTAACAATCCTGAGGAACCTCAGCTGGATGCTTCTGGTCTCGTGCTGGAGCGAAAAGCATCACAAGCACCGTCAGGTCTGCCTGCTCATTTAGTGCTTCCACAGGTGGTTTCTCTTTGGCTGATGGCTCACCTCCAAATACATTTTGGCAGGACAACAGAACCAACTAAAATGTGCACGCGAGCAAGTTCATCTCTTTAAAAATTAAAATTCCAAGTACAGTTCACCTGATCTCACTTCCTGGTGGTTGCTGGAACACCGGGCCTTAACACACTCAAATGCTTTTTGACATTTCACCAACGACGTGCTAAAGGAATCCATCCTGAGGAGCTAGCCAGGCTCTGTGCTCCAGCTCTCTCCAGCTCTGCCACTGCGTTAGCACACTGGCACAGGGCCTGAGCCAGGCTCAGCTCTGAGACACTCCTCTCACTGACATCCATTTGCATGGCTGTGTGGCCTTCCCCAGAGGGCAGCCAGGCATGGGGAGAGGGGCTGGATGCCAAGCTGTGTTGCTGTGCTTCCCCAGAGGGCTTCTGGACGTGAGCTCCACGCTGAACCCACACTCAGCAGGGAACAGAGGCCCCCTGATGTCCCCTGCCCAATCAGCTCTTCTCTCATTTACTACCAAATCTTTGTGATAGAACTTCTGGTAAGCTGCTTGTTTGGGGCCCCTCCCCAGGCCCTCATTAACAGAGGTGGAGCGACCAACCTTTGACTGAAAAAATATGACTGGAATACAGAATATAAAGCTTCAAAACAGCAACTAAGTCTGATGCTTTATATACACAAAGCCACCTTCATTACAAAACATGAACTATGCCTTCTCTCTGCCTTCCTGGTTGCGTGGACCTCAGCACCAACTACACTTACTTTATGCTTTTAATCCTAATTCTGAACATCCTTAGTTTTCTGAACACCAGATCAAATTCAGAGACACTTGGAAACCATTCTCTAGCATTCTTGCCATAGAGCACCACTATTCTACACACACACTGCTGCCCTCGAAAGACATTTACTCCCTTGGCAGATCAGGAATTTGGCTGATTTCTTGGTAAGAGCTGATGTTTTCCACATTATACATAAGAGTTGAAGCAGACCTCTATCAGAACACGATCCTACAAAGCACACCACAGACACAGCTCACCCAGCAGTTTTGCTCCACTTCTCTGAAGGTGTGAACGAGCCTTTTCCTGTGACACTTTCACCCCCACTTCAGCAGCAGATTTGCTGCTTTTTTATACACACTGTGAATACTTCCGTGCCTCTGAGAAATCACAGTAAGAGGTGCTCCCTTCACTGATTACACCTTACAGTAATTAACATCCCTCCTCGGACACCACACTTAACCTGGTGAAATCCCTCTCCTCCTACCAATGCACCTTTGCAGAAAGCCACATGCTCCTCAGTTAACAGGTTTTGGCTAATTAGAGCAAGAAGCAAGATAAATGGAACACATGTTGCTATTACAGATAATCAGGCTCTGTTCTTTCAACCAAAAAGGTTGCTGCTCTAATCTCTCCAGACTGAAACAGAGGGAGAAGTTTAAATGAAAAGGCTGCTGTTGACTCTGCATTTGATGTGCATAAACTTGTTAATACCATCAGCTCCGGCTAACAGCAGCTTCTGCAGTAGGTTCCTGCCCCCCCAATAAGGCACCTGGAAAATGGATTGTACACCAGCATCCTGTTATTTCCTTGCAAGTGGCAACAGCAGTGACGGACATCAGGTCACAAGAACTGCAAATCCAGAGGACAAATAAGAGCATGAGGTGAGGATGCACCTCTGGTGAGAAACAAAAAATGCAGGGAGCATTGCTTCTCAGATCAGCTGTCACAAAGCAAATGATGGGCCTCCCTTCTGGCAGCAACTCCAGATTAAGACCCAGCACTGCTGTCACTTTCCCAAATCCCATTTCACAGGGCAGTGGGCAGCAGAAGCTGTGACCTGGCCAAGCTGCTGTGCCAAGGAATGCTCCTGCACTCACTCCCTGCAACTCCCCAGTACCGATGCTATCTATCTGCCTCCTTCCTCTGCAAAAATCAGCTGCAGGAACTGGGTGGGCGCCAGCATCTTACAGAAAATCATTCAAGAGTTATGGGGAAAATCCTCTTCTTAAAGTCCTACCAGTCCTTCTCATCTAATCTTGGGAGTTTTTCCTACCTTGAACTCCCTTAAACAGTAACTCTGTGACAAGCAGCTGTATTCTGAGATGCTTTCACCATTCTGCTGATCCTCCCCAACTGCCTTTCAACTAACAGCATCTAGGGTGCAAAACACACAGATTAGCAACGGACCTTAATTTAGCAGGCATCAACCATCCTTCCATGATATGATCTCTTAAGAAAACATTAGTGACAGAAGGGAAAGCTGAGAGGCAATGAGATGCAGAGATGGAGCTCTGCTGTAGTGGTTTGGAGAAGCAAACGAAAACACTCCGGGGAGGAGCTTACGCCAAGAACATCTATCCTCACTCAACACGCTGGCCATCACAGCCCATGGCACTCTTGGGAATTAGCACAGCCTCTTGCACACTCAGTAATTACGTCCCTAGAGCACAACACACAGGGATATCCAACCAAAGAAAGCATCTCTATCTCAGAACCCGTATCCGTTTGTTTGATGTGTAACAGCATTGCCACAAACAAAAGGTATAAATCCCAAAGTCCTGCAGACAAACACATCCTTACCCTAAATCATAAATCAGAATGCTCACACCTTCAGGTGCCTTGCTTCTGTGTCACTCCCTCAGACCCCACAGCGTTTTCTTTATAGGAGGCTTCTGTGAGAGCAGGGCACCTGTTGCATCCAGCAATATGAAAAATGAAGCAGTAAGCACCATAAGCATGTCTGTGTGACTGACAGAGAGGTGACAAGGGCTGGAGCAGTAAACACACATCCCACAGCCAACAACTGAAGAAAAACAAAGTCCCGGGCACGTACCAAACACTCGCTGTCAAGAGCAGAAAGTCCAAACAAACTGCACTCCCTTAACACCCACCAACAGCTCCTTCCTCAGAGAGCTTCCAGCCGTCTCCTGAGGACTCGATGACACTGTGGCCACGCTGCTCCCCACATGGGGAGAGACAAGCGGGTGGCCACAGCCATGGAAGGCTCATCTTTCTCTGATACTCCACCACAGCATCTCAGAAGTGGGTTCCACCACCTGCTGCCATGGCTCAAAGAACCACAGGAAGTGCTCAACTCACAGTTTGGTAATAGAAGGGCATGGAGTTCATTCATAAAATACATATTCCGATAATTCAAGTTGTTCAGGCCAAACAGAATTGAGAATTATTTCCACATGAGCGCACGTGTCACAGAGCACCCAATGTGGCATACACTGCACAACTATACAAGTCCATTTTTAAGCTGAGATTAAATGTACTCCTTCTGAAAGTAGTATCTCTATAGAAACACATTAGGGAAATATTGCAATTGCGTGACTAAGCAGCCAGGAAACACAACTGCTGTGGCTGGCAGCACAGCTGCTCTCATGCATACGGGCATGGCAACAACCATGCACTGTGGCACACCACAGCACTGACTTCACCCTCCTGCAATCTCCCCATCAGACCCACAGAGATGGACCTTTGGAAACAACACACAGCACTTCATCTGCCAGAATCCAGAGGCTCCTCACTGCCAGAAGCCTTGCATGCAGGGAGAACTGCTGTCTGCTCGTACCTCATTGGGCTCCTTCACACATTTTATGCTGAAGGCAAAAAGAGGGGACCAGGGTAGAGCTCCCCTCCTGCACACACATGACCTGTCTGCAAGGAATGCACCTTCACCACTCTGTTTTCATGCCTTTCCAGAGAAGGACACAAAAGAAATGTAATAAAACCTTCTTCCGCTCTCACATCCAAGGTCAGTTAGGACTCCTGGAGCCTCAGCTTTAAGAAGGTACTCCATCAGAGAGACAGCAAACCTGTGAAATGTGTCCCTTCCAAGAACATCCCAAGAACTGGGGTAAGAACGGGACTACCCCATTTCGTATGCTTTGGTGTATTCAAAACACTGGGAAGAACCATCAAAATATGTTGTTAGCACTTCCCTGCACACACCAAGTGGCAGTGCCATGACACTGTTATATGCTGCAGCAACTTTTTTTCACCCAGAAGGATGAAGAGGATGAAGTTTTTACTGCATGAAAGGATGAGCAGAGCATCACGAGCAGTAAACACACATGGGCTCTGTGCTCAGCACACTTTAGTTAGTTCTGCAAAACCATGCCTTGTCAGCTAGAATTGTGACAGATTCCACCCAAGAGGAATAAAGTTGTAATGCTGTCAGATTTATAGAACTATAAGGGCAGACTTCAAATTCTAGGTACAAACTGCAAACAAGAACTGAAAAGCTCCAGTAGGAAAAGTGAACCCATTCTCACAGCAACACAACATTCCTTGTTTTTTCTTCCTGTTATAATTCTCCTGTGCCAGATCATGTGGAGGGACAGATATTCTGCCACTGATCATGCTGCTGCCAAGGCCTGCTTCATAGCAGTTATTAAGACACTGTTATCTCTCCCTCCAAAATCTCAACAAGTTGCACTTGATGATCCTTACGGGTCGCTTCCAGCTCAGAATATTCAACAATTCTATGATCCCTGCGGAAGGAGCAAGGCACAAGATTCACCACTGCTACACATCGCAAGGCCAGAGAAGGTAAGTAGCTGCATACCCACCTGCACACATCTAGCACGTGTCCCTGCACACCTACACCTCTACTCTGAACAGCCCAGTGCAGATGTGAGCCCAGGTGACCCAGCAGCTGCTCAGGGGCTGGCAGACCGCAGCGCAGCAGGCTGCACTTCTGCTAGCAGAGGGATACCCTAGTGGTTATTTGGGAGAACAAAGTTTTTGCAAGTTGGACACACGTGAGCAGCACAGGAAGCTTACGGCAGTTCCACAGCTCTGAGAGAAACCCTGGAAAGGAACTGCATGCCCCCACACACCGGGGCTTTCTCCTAAAGGAAGCTCCAGCAGACACGTGGCTGCCTGCATGAGAGAGCCCTGCTTTTAGCACAGCACACAGGACACACCGGGCTCTTACCTTTGCCAGCAGCTTTATCCGTGCACCTGGGGAAAACAAAAGTAGGGCGTAAGAGCCAGCTCCCAACGCTCCGCGCTGCACCTGCGGGACCACCCCAGGCACAGCCCCGGAACGCAGCCGCCCCACCGCGCCCCCGAACCGGAGCGGGGCCACCCGGGGCATAGGACGGGGAAGGCCGCACTCACCCAGCACGGGGCGCTCCCTTCCTGGCGGCGGGCGGCGCCTCGGCGGCGGGCTGCTCCGCGGCGGCGGGTCGGGCCCCGGGGCTGCTCCGCCGGCGCCGGGGATACTCGGCCTTACGGCGGCGGGAGGCGGCGGCTCCCCCCGCGGCCCGGCTCCGCTCCCGGCCGCCCCTCAGCACCCGGCCGCCGCCGCCGCCGCCGCCACTCTCCTCCCCCTGCTCGGCGGCGGCTGCAGACGGGCGACGGCGTCCCGATGGCGGCGCGGGTTTCTCGGCCGCGGGCGGCGGACCCTGGGCAGGCTGTTGCTGCTGCTGTTGCTGCGGCTGCTCCTGCTGCTGCTCGGCGCCCGCCGGCTGCTCGGCGCCCGCCGGCATCGGGACGGCGAGCGGACGGGCAGCGTCTCCGCGCCGCTCCCGCCCGCCCCACAAACCTCACGCCGCCCCACTCCGGGCTCTCACCCAATCACAGCCCGGCCTCCACGTTCACGCGGGGCCGCCCAGCGCCCCGCCCCCTCCCGGCACCCACCAATCCGCAGGGCCCAAGCGAGAACTCCCCGCCCCGCGACTCCGCCTCCCGCGGCCCTCCCGCCTTTCTCCGCCGCTCGCGCGCTGCCCAGCCAATAGACGCTCTGTTTGCGGCAGGGCCCGCCCCCACTCTGCCGCGCGGCCAATCGGCGTGCGGCTCCCCGCGCAGGCGCGGCCGCACTCTCTCTCCCGCCTCCACCTTCCCTCCCCCCCCTCCGGCCTGCCCCGCCGTGCCGCCCGCCCGAGTGCGGCCCCTCCGGCTCCCGCTCTGCCGTCCCGTCGCCCGGCCCGCCCGGCCGCCCGCCCGGCCCGGCTGCCGTCGCCCGGTCCTCGGCCCTCGCCGGGCTTCCTACCGCCGCCGCTGCCCGCTCCCCTCCGGCTGCCCCCGAGTCCCCTCGCCCGGCGGGCGGGACCGGGCAGGGGGAACCGTTCTCTCGCCCCTCGCCCCGCGCGGCCGCTCCCTGCAGACGGGATGCGGCGCCGCTCGCGGGCGCGGTGGGGCCCGGTGGCGAGCCCTGGTCGGGGGCTGTCGCTTCTCCTTTAAGAAAAAAAAAAACGCCCCGTCGGGCGGCGGGTGAAAGTCGGTGACAAAATGGCGGCCGGCGCAAGGGGGGCGGGGCCAGCGCGATGAGCTCCGCCCACTTCCGTCGGGTCTCCGCGCATGCGCTCGGCCTGCCGGGAATTGTAGTCCAGCTGGGCGCTGGCGCGGCCAGGCCGGAAGTGGGCGCGGGGCACGCTGGGGGCTGCGGGGTGTCCGCCGCGGCTGCCTGCGGGGGTGTGTCGAACCGTCCTGCCTTTAGCAGGCCTGGGTTGGCCTTTGGCGTTTAATTCCGGTCTGTCAGTCGACAGAGGGGCAGTGAGAGTGCTCAGTAACCTGTTGTTCTGTGGAGAACCACAGCCTGATTCCTTCTGGCAAGACCCCAAGCTGTGAGGAGGAGGTGCCCGTCCTGATGCCAGAGCTTCTCTGGGTTAATTGCTCCTTTGTAGGCAGGGCATGAGATTGCTTAATACTCATCAAAATGGCTTGGCTAAAGCACTGTGAACATACAGCTCAGCTCAGGACGGCTCAGCCATCTGCATCCACCGAGCCTGAGTTTTATAACATTACAGCTTCAGGTGCTTCATTGCAATAGAGGCCGTATCTGCACTGAGGGGACAGTCAAATCACTGAGATGCCTACAAATAACCCAAGACCTTCTGCAGACAGGAAGGTTCATTTCTTTTGAAAAGGGAAGTGTCTGACAACCACGCTGCTTCTGAGCCACAGTAAGAATGTAACCACCCACGCTCCTCTTGCCTTTGGGTGGCTCTTGTAATGCTTGCCCTGAAACAAGCTGCGGAGCCTGGAGTTTGGCTCCCGTGCAGCTTTTCCTGAAACAGCACCCTGCTGAATGTCCTTGCTGTGGGACGGTAACGAAAGAGCTGTCACCAGCGTGGACAATGTCAGTAACTAAATGAACCTTGGTGTGCTAGCTTGGTACAAAAGGGCTTAGTTCAGCACCGGTGGCTGAGCTGGTTACAAATGGTTGCTGGTTCCAAATGCTGGGGCTGAAATGGAGGAGGTGGCAGCAGAGATGTGATGCCAGGGAATGTGGGAGGGAGATCAAAGAGATCCCCATGGCATGGGAGGGATGGCAGAATGAGGCTGTAGCAGGACGAGATGTGTTACTGCAGGAGAAGTAGCAGGGAGCCATGGGCTCTGCCAGAATGGCGAGTATCATTTGCTCCCATAGCTTTGCAGCAGCCTTGGAACCATCCAAAGGGGGCTAGCAAGGATGCAGTGTGGGTGCCCTCTCCATGAAGGCACAGATGTGCTGGGGGGATGCAGGGGTGCCTGCTACACATGGGGATGCCATCTCTGCCGTGTAGTGCTGGTGGATCCCAGCAGATGACCACAAGGAACCCAGGTTCCTTGTCAAGTCAGGAGCCCCTTTGTCAGCCACTGCTCACTTTGTTTCCTTTCTGGCCCCAGCCTTCATCACTTGTTACTTGTTGCATGTGATGCGCAACCCACAAAGGAAAAAGCCCAGCGATGAACCCTAGCGTCAGGGGTGGAGGCAAGGCTGGGAGCGGAACTGAGCACTGGTGCAGCCCAGCCTGCTGCTCGCACTGCCCTGCAGAGGCAGGATGGAGGATTTGGGTAAGCTGGGTCGCTCTGGTGCTGGGGAAGGCTGAGCTGGCCCCGTGGCCAAGCTCGCTGCTGGGTCCTGTCCTGGTGGGCTGGAGAGCTTCATCTTTTTTACATTGCTGGGGCAGGTGGGGATGGCACAAAGGGGACGGCAGCAGGGCTGCTCCTCCATCTCGGGGGACAGACGGGCGGTTGAACTTTGCCAAAAATGGAGACTGCTCAAAGGCAGGAAGCAGGCTTCAGTGACGGTGCAATCTTGTCTGTGCACAGTGGGGCCCAACAGCCTGCTGAGAAAGGCGGCACCATGAACAGGGGTGCCCTGGCCCCAGGCAGGGAGACGGGGCCCAGGGGGCAGCTGCCAGGGGTGCCTGTCACCATGTCCTGTCGTGACAGTGGCAAGCTGAAAGTAGAAAGAGAAAGGGCTTTATCCATATGGATATCCCACCACTCTAGGGCACAGGAAGCACCAAGGGTGAACTTTCCTGTGCCAGGGTTGTGCTTGAAGAAACTTCAGGGTGATAGATGTCCATTTGTAAGCTGGAAGCAGCTTACACCTGGGGCACAGAGAGGGGCAACAGATTCCTATTTGCATCTCTCCATGCAGATGCGTTGCTGGCAGAGCTGGAGCAGAGCTCCAAGCCGGCCCCAGCGAGCTACATGTTGCTGACACCCAGCAGCAGGCAGCAGGACGCACCTCCAGGCAAGCCCCCAGCTCCCAGCAACCAGAAGCCACTTACATCAGCAGCCCCAAAGGTAATGCCTGGAGCCTGGGAAGGCCCTGCTCAGCCCACGAAAGGGGTGGGAGTGCTGGGTGAGTGCTGAAAGGTGCTGGGGGCTCAGCCACAGGGATTTGTCCTTTCAGGTGCCACTGCCACCTCGGTCTCAGCCTTCAGGCAAAAGTTTGGAATCTGTGTACAGGTAAAATAAAGCCATGAGATGGCAGAGCCATTGGGGTTACCCCTTCCTTAGTTTGGACACACTCACCTGGCTTCCTCAATGTCTCCACAAAAACCAAGTCCTTCTGTGAGCCGGGGTGAGGGGGTCACATCCTGCTGTGCCTGCTGCCAGGGTAAGGGGTGGGCTTCCAGTATGTCCCCTACCATGGCTCATGGGGACGGAGCAGCTTTTTTGGGGTGAAGGCAAGATGCTCTGTCCCACATGCTCCTCAGTCTTAGGGGTGAAACTGCAGTACCTATTGCTCTCTGCTGTGCCCAGCAGCCCCATGCCGACCCCACAAGCACTGCCTGCTTCGCCAGAACCCACAGCGGCCGCCCGGCAGCTGGATGAGCTCCTGGCTGACCTGGGCCAGATGCAAAGCAAGGTGAGCTGCATCCTGGGGCAGGCAGCACGGGGTAGACCGGAGCCCATCCCTCACCTACCCCATCCCAGCAGCTGGCAGCAGTGGGGCAAGGAGCCGGAGCGCCGGCAGCCCCTGAACACTCGCTGGACCACATGCTGGGTGGCCTGACGCGGGACCTGCAGGAGCTGGGCATCACCGCTGCTCCTGCCGCTGCCTGTGCCGCCTGCCACAAGCCCATCGCCGGCAAGGTGAGCCATGGGGTGGAGCGTGGGGCTCACAGCAGCCCCCAGGACCCTCACTCATCTCTGTCGTGCAGATGTTCACGGCCCTAGGAGAAACCTGGCACCCCGAGCACTTCACCTGTGCCTGTTGTGGGCAGGAGCTGGGCGGGCGGCCCTTCTTTGAGCGTGGGGGGCAGGCGTACTGCGAGGAGGACTACCACCAGGCCTTCTCCCCACGCTGCGCCTACTGCGCTGGACCCATCCGCGAGGTAAGCACGGCCCTGCCCACCTCTGCGCCCCGCTACCCAGCGCCTCACCTCTCCTGTGCCCACAGAAAGTCCTCACCGCCATGGACCAGACCTGGCACCCCGAGCACTTCTTCTGCGCCCACTGCGGGAAGGTGTTTGGAGATGACGGTTTGTATCCAGGGGACATCCGCCTGCTCCCCACCCCATCACCCCACCTGGCACCTGCGTCTCTCCATCTCAGTCCTTCTTTAGTCCATCCCACTGCCTTCTTCGCAGGGTTCCATGAGCGTGGTGGGAAACCCTACTGCTTCCAGGACTTCGTGGTCCTCTTTGCGCCCAAGTGCCAGGGCTGTGAGCGGCCGCTGACGGACAACTACCTGTCGGCCCTGCAGGGCGTCTGGCATCCTGAGTGCTTCGTCTGTGCGGTGAGTGGGCAGCAGGACAGAGGGATGCAGGGCAGGCGCATCCTCAAAGCCATGCCAGCCTTCTCCCTTTAACTACTTGGCTGAGAGATGGCTGAATGCAAGCCAGCAATGTGCCCAGGTGGCCAAGGTGGCCATCAGGATCCTGGCTTGTATCAGCAACAGCGCAGCCAGCAGGAGCAGGGAGCTGATCCTCGCCCTGTACTCGGCTCTGGTGGGGCTGCACCTCCAGTGCTATGGTCAGTTTGGGGCCCCTTACCAGAAGAAGGACATTGAGGACACAGAGCATGTCCAGAGAAGGACAGTGAAGCTGTGAGGGGTCTGGAGCACAGCTCTGATGGGGCATGGCTGAGGGAGCTGTGGTGGTTCAGTCTGGAGGAGGCTCAGGGGAGACTTTATTGCTCTCTACATTGACCTGAAGAGAGGTAGTGAGGAGAGAGGGGTTGGCCTCTTTTCTCAGGTAACATTGAAAGGATGAGGGGGAATAGCCTCAAGTTGCACCAGGGAAGGTTCAAGCTGGCTATTAGGAAA